GTCAGTTGTGGAGCGTAAAAGAACCACGCCCAAGCCCATCTCCATCTTGCTATTTAGCAGGCGGCCGTCCCGGAAACAAACTAAAGACGACGGTATTAAGATAGACGCCGCCGCGGTAAGGTAGTCCTTCTTATCAATTTCGAGAGCTAGTCTCAACGGTCGTCATATCTAATCTTAGGGGTACTCGGGGTGCCCCTAATTTGCTGCATGGTCAAACCAGAGTACCGTCATTGCACGGACTTGTCTTTGAGGCTAAGTCCCTAAACCATGGATTTCAGGCGGCGCACTACTTGTGGCCGCCTGACAGTTAGCCCGGACCACTTCTCGACGCCCCCGTCGAGCCCTGGCAACTTATGTCAGACGAAGCCGATGAGCTTCAGGAGGATGGTCCGTAAAGGTCGCCCACGTCGGCGTTCAATTGTCTTATGTTTCAGTTTGTTATGAGTCCTGGGGCTAAGAAGATGCTTTTTGACTCTCCTGTTTCTTCTGGTTTTTGGCCCCGGCACGATCCTCTCTTTCTTCTGTCTTTGCTCCGAGAAGGGTGTCGACCCGCCAGTACGTCTAACCCGAACTCTCCGTCTAGCTCGCTTGAGCACGAATAACCATCTCTTCTTTCTTCCTAAAGCTAACCCTTTGACCTTTCTCTTCTCCATTCTTTTCCTTTTCTTGGAACTCTCCCCTGCCTCGAATTGCCTTAAGGGGGCTTCATCCTCCACCATGGCTTTCCCTTTCCCTTTCGAATTGGTTAGCGATAAAGCGGGCGTGGGTCTGGGCCTAAACAGCTTTAACCTAGCGCCCGCCACCGGGTCCTTCCACTTAGATCCATCCAATTCTGCTATCATATATGCACCCCAGTCGAGTGCCTCAACCACTCTGTAAGGTCCCATCCATCTGTTGGCGAGTTTTCCGGTCCAGGTTCTTTCCAGCGCTGCATCGTAGAGAAGGACCATATCTCCTACACTCACCCTCTCTTTCCTAATTCGCACGTTCTTATCCCATCTCTCTTTACCCTTGTCCCTTTCTACTACCAGACAATCTGCCGCTGTCATGAGGTCATCTTCCAAACCGTAGGCTATTTGCCTCGTTCGGGCAGCTAAGAGTTCCTCTCAGGACATCTCTTCCGCCCAGTCGACGGTTGTCCAGCTGTCGACGTGAAACTCTATGGGAAGCRGACAATGTCGCCCAAACCACAAGGTGTACGGTGGGTATCCGGTACTAGCCCGGACCGGGACGTTGTCCGCCCATATTGCGTATCGAAAATATCGTGGCCAATCACTGTGCTTACCCTTGCACCACTTGGAAAGTGACGCTATTAGAGTCTAGTGTCCCCTCTCTACTGGGGAGTTCGACTGTGGGTGATAGGCGGTGGCTATCGAAACTCTCGCACCGGCTCTCCTAAACACGCTCTGAACCTCGTCGGCTAGGAATTCCGCTCCTCTGTCCATCACTATCTTGCTGACACAACCATACCTAGATAAGTATTATAGGACAAAGTTCTTTACTTCCTCTGCCGCCTTACTCCTGATAGGTCTACCGTCCACTAACCCAGTGAAATCGTCTTGTATGTTCACGACGTAGTTCATATTGCCTACCCCTCTCGGCATTTTTACTAGATCGATGTGTACCTTCTCTCCTGGTCTGGTCGGATAGGATGGATGAAGTGGCTCTTTGTATTTCACAAGAGCTCTCTTCTGGCACTCTTCGCATGTCATACAGTACCTCTCGACGTCCTTATACTGTCCTTCCCACTAGTACAGCCGGCGTATCTTTTCGTAGGTTCCTTTAACTCCCCTGTGTCCTCCGACTACCCCGTCCTGAAGTTCCGCAACTATCGTCTGTCTCTCCTCAGGATCACAGACTACTCGTAAGGGCATTCCCGACCGTACTGGCCTTCGGAAAAGGTGGCCCGCTCTAAGGCAGTACTGGGCTGCTTATCTTTGGATTTCTGAATCTTGACTCTCCTCTCCCGTCAGGTGTAGTCCGATCATTCGGTACTTGCCCTCGTAAAGATTAATTAAAAATCTTTCGGCGCGCCTCGGCTCTGCCATTGTCAGAGCCCCAGCTACTATCGGACGCTCGAGAGGGATGCGTGAAAGTCCATCTGCCACAGCATTTTTAGTACCAGATACTCTCTCAACCGTGTAATCGTATAGCCGAATCCGTATTAACCATCGGGCGATGGTCTGGTCCGTCAGACTAAAGTCCTTCTGGAGGGCAGAAGCAATTGCGGTGGGGTCTACTCTCAAGATGAACCGTCGCCCATAGATATAGTGTCTGAACGTGTCTAGATACCGGAGAACAGCTAACACTTCCTTCTTGAATTGACTGTAGTTACGCTCAGCCGTATTAAGTGTCCTACTCTCAAATCTTAACGGTCTTTCCTTCCCTTCAGCGTCCTTCTGAGACAGCAAACCACCCACTGAACGTGGTCCAGCATCCGTGGATACTGTGAAGGGTCTCTCGGTCTCATCGTCAAAGAATGGCACGCCCAACACGCGTCCTCCCTCCTTAAATTCGTCTTTAAGTTCTTGCATAGCGAGTTCCTGTGAAGAGCCCCAGTAAAACTTTTCAGTCTTTCGAAGGAGTAACCTCAATGGCTCAGCCTTCTCCGCATACCCCCGTATGAATATACGCCAGTAACCGACCACTCATAGAAACTGTCGGACCTCGGTAGGGCTATGCAACGGTGACGGCCAGTTCAGAAGTTTGTCTAACTTCGCCAGATCTGCTCGGCGCCCTCTCGACTCACAGATAAAACACAAGATCTTAATAGCCGAGACGGCCCATCGGCTCTTGGTTCCGCTGACTGTCAAATTCGCACCGTCCAGCTGCTCGAGTACCACGCAAATATCTGTTAGGTGTTGCTCGACGAATCTTCTAACTCCAGGTACAACCTCTGTCTCATCCATGTYTACTGGCCCTTTTATAGGAAAGTCATCCAGAAAAACTTCAACCTTATCAAGGATGAAGTCCTTGAGGACGGCTACCATGGCTCTCTGAAAAACGGCTACGCCATTAGTCCACCCCATAGGGACAACCATCATCTGTATTAGTCCCAATGGCGTATGCATAGCCGTGAGGTGTTTGTCCCTAGGGTCAAGCGGTACCTCATCATAGCCTGAGAACAGATCACAGACCGAATAGATCGACCTACCTGTTGCGCCTTCTGCTAGTGAATCGGTGTGTGGCACGGAGCCCACGTCTCGTATCGTCACCGCGTTGACCTTCTGAAGGTCCTGGATCCATCGAATCTTGCCATTCGGCTTCCGTAGGAAGTTCCGTAGGAAGAACCATCGATTAGCATAAGCGCTATCAGATGGCTCCGCAACGTGGGAAATCATCTTTTCTTTCAGGAAAGCGATATCTTCTTCCTTTTCCTTCTGGGCGTATTTCTATCCCGCGTCATTCCAAGGAACATGTGGAATCGTATAAATCCTCACTGGCTTAGCGTATCGAGGGTCAATCCTACCGCGCTCTGCGTCGCTGAAAGCTATGGCCTTATCACATGTCTTGAGAATTTCTATCACACGTTCTCGCTCCTGTGGGGTCAAATTTCCATCTCCAATGTCCATCCCTGCTATCCTCTCTTCCGTTAGGCATTGCAGCTCGTTTTTCTTTCTTTCTTTGATTTCTTTTGCGATCTCTTCTTCCGATATCCCTTCTAGTGCAGATCGCTCACGGCCCACCGCCACTGGCTTAACTTTTTGCGCTACTCGTTTGTGTCGCTTGGGTAGCCCCCCATAGGGGACCGTGCTCTTAAAAAAGGCACGGATACCACACCGCCAAATTCCTCATCTTTTTCCTTCGGGTACGAGTTGCCGTCCACTATTCGCCGACTTCCTAAGTCTTCGACCTCCACCATCTGACCTTCTTCTTCTGTGAGCAGTGGTCCATATTTCTTCTCGCGAAATCGCACCGCGCGGCTGGAGATAGGCAACGACTCAATCTGATCACTGAGTCTTGCACCCACAGCAAGAGCTGCTCTGTTCCTCGGGTCCCGAGGCTCCACTGTCTCAGTCATTACCCGCGTCCCGTCTGGCTTCTTAATGGACAATGTTTGGCTCCCATCAGGTCGCTCTATCGTCACCGCATGCACGTGGCTCAGCCACRTTYGACCCAAGAGCAGGTCGGAGCTGCAGTTCTTGACTGCAAAGACTGGCAGGGTCACTCGTACCCCTTGGACTTCTATGGCTGCCTTGTGACAAACCCCAGTGATCTGTTGCTTTCTCCCATCGGCCGTCTCTATCTCGAATAGGTATGACCTATCGAGGCCCATTCCAAGTTGTACCGCCAGGTCCTCGTCTATGATGACAGCCTCACTACCGTTATCAATCACAGCATCGAGTACCGCTCCATCGTTTATAATCGTCTCCACGGCCCCGCTACCAAGTATATAAAACTTGTCTGGAGGCACACCTTCCATTCCATCGAGAAGGACTGTCGCCATACGATCCGCTCTGGCAGTCACCCCCGTTACTGCTACTGTAGAAGCTTCCGCTTTAGGGGCCCCCTGACCCTCCTCTGATAGAGGTGTGCGAGTATTCCGCATGATCATCTGTAATTCATCACGAGCCGGCTTCGATGCCGCCAGGTACTCCAGAATAGAACACTGCATTGGTTGCCGAAGGGCCCGCCTCAGTGGCTCAACCGTGTCAATCTCGTCCAACGAACTCTTCATTAAGAACTTCTTCACTCCCCTCTTTCGCGGTGAAAGGATAACCTCCTCTCCATCGACCCGCTGCCCGTCCTTCTCCGTCATCATGTAATCCGTGTCAGTCTTCTTCGATGTAGACCCTCTTGCCGACTTGGTGGCTGCCACCCTTATGGGTGTGGTCGCGAT